TTAGAGTTGAACCCTTTGTGTCACTGTGGCAAGATGTTCTGCTCCTGAATCAGCTGGGTGGGTCTTGACTCTAACCTCTTTGCAGTGAGTTCTGAAGGGTTCTACTATGGGCCTGCAGCCTGGGTCAAATGAGGATCTGTGGCCCCGGGTTGTCTCACTCACTCACTGGGCCTGCGCTCCGGGTCTGTTCAGGATCCCGTGGCCCCCGGTCATCTCACTCACTCACTGGGCCTGCGCTCCGGGTCTGTTCAGGATCCCGCAGGCCCTTGGTCTTCTCACTCACTCGCCGGGCCTGCGCTCCGGGTCTGTTCGGAAAAGTTTATTTAATTGGGCTAGCACCAAACACTTCCCAATTAACAGATCAGGAAATGCCAAGCCCTGTTCTTTGTTTCACCTTGGCTTAAATACCCTTTTGATTTTTAAGGCAATCACAGTGGAATGTAGCTGTTACTGACTCAGATAGTTTCAGGCTATTGCTGTAGTGGGTTAGGGCCAGTCATGAGAATTTATGGTGACAGACTTTAACACACTTCTTTGCAATTAGTTCTGTTTCCCTTTTTATCTCTTTTATGTTTTAAGATATCTTAACAAGAATGGGAAGGAATGAGACACTCCAGGTGGGGTCATGGAGAGTTGACTCTGCCCAGGTACCTCCTATCTCTTAAGATATTCCAAGGGGAGGGAGTGAGGCATTCTAGGCAGGGTCATGGAGAGTTGATTCTATCTCTGAGATAGGTCAGAGGCTAAACTGAAGCTAATTCAGTCAGGATAAAATTAACCCATTGAGAGCACCATCATCAACATGGAGGTGATTTGTATTACATGGCATTTTAATCAGATATTTGCAACACTTGAGCACAGCACAGTAACAATAGGTGACTGAAAATACTACAGTAGGTCAATGTGTACTATACACAATCATAACTATTTGTACTTACGATTTCTTTTTTGGTACCGGGGATTGAACTCAGGACCTTGTGCTTGCCAGGCAAGCGCTTATTCTACTGAGCTATCTCCCCAACCGTGTACTTATGATTTAATACTCATTTTTCTTGACTGCAAATAGCACCGTATACATTGTTTGTGTGCATAAGTTATGATAAATTTTAACTTTTGGAGATTTGTGTGTATTTTATGTAAAAATAATAAAATAGACTATATTTTTGTGTATTCATGATCCTTTTTCTTAATTTCTTCAGTTTATCTGAATTAACCATGTGTAAGTTTTTAAAAATTTTTGCTTGTTCAGATCAATGAAACAAAAACTGTATGAGTGAGGCCTTCTAGCTCAAGCTTCTGCTATTACAGGTCAACTATAATTATTTTCAAAATGTCAAAATAAGAGTTTCATAGTTGCTATTCATTTGTAAAAGAAGAGCAGAGCAATTAAGTAGGTCAGTAGAATGTTAAAGAATGGATTTTTAAAAATTGATCAGCCAGTTTTTATTTATCAAAACTATGAAAGTCTTTAATGTTCAGGACTAAATTGAGGTTCAGCTTTAAAAAAAAAAAAAAAGTCACATATCCCAGTTATCATCATGAATGATTAAGGACTGAATGAAAGTGTAGTAGACATTAAAAAAATCTCTTGCTTGGGGCAGGGGAGATGGCTCAGTAGAACAAGTGCTTCCCTGGCAAGTGCAAGGGCCTGAGTTCAATCCCCTGTTCTGGGGGGAAAAAAAAAGCTCTTGCCATAGTACCTTAGAGGAAAAATCCACTGATCAGCATCACAGCTGACTAGATGTGGTGCTAAGGGATGTTTTAAAAAAAATTCAGGCAGATGCAATAACAAACTTAAAGAATGTTACAGCTATAAAATTAGAAATCCAAACAAATTACACTTGTAATAGTATACAGAAGAGCATACCTATAATCCTAGCACTTGGGAGGCTTGAGGTAGAAGGCTGCCCAAAAGTTTGAGGCCAGCCTGGGCTACATAGTGAGTTCAAGGTTAGCCTTGACTACATAGTCTGACCCTGTCTCAAAAAAAAGTATACAGAGGGAAATAAAAAGAAGGGAATGAGATCAAGATATTTTTGAGAGTGTAAGTAGGTTGAGGTTAGCATTAAACAAGTGACCAGTGGCCCATCAAGGCAAACCCAGGACTCAGACTTAATCCTTCTGGGCATTGAATCAGCTCTTACTGTCACTGTTTCTGTGTCCTTCATGCATCTGCTTAGACTCTTCCTACATAGT